CATTGATGAAGGCGGTCATCCAGTTTCTGGCAGTTTCGACAAGGCTACAGTCCTCAACCAGCAGTTCGCCTCCGTTGCTGTGCCGGATGATCCGTCGTTATCACTTCCAGCTCTTCGTGCCCACAGCCAACTTCATGAAACATTTGTTCAGGTCATCACCACAACTGCGGATGTTAGAAAGGCTATCGCCCGACTAAAGTCTCGCCGCAGTCCTGGCTTGGACACCATTACGAATGATGTCCTGAAGAAACTTGCCCCGTCGATATCGTACCCCCTCTGCCGTATTTTTAATGTGTCCTTTTCGACTGGTAAATTTCCAGCAGCATGGAAACTCGCGAAAGTGGTTCCGGTTTACAAGAGCAAAGGCTGCAAGTCACAAGCCAGCAATTACCGTCCTATCTCCTTGTTGTCCTGTGTATCGAAACTATGTGAGCGATTATTCTTTGATAAGCTTTATGCTCATGTGTCGCCGGCCCTTGCCCCAATCCAATCTGGTTTTCGACGAGGAGACTCAACCATCATGCAGCTGACACGCCTTGTGCAGGACATTGTGGCCCTTTGTCATGATCACCAACATGTTGGTATGTGTTTTTTCGACCTAGCAAAGGCGTTTGACACGGTATGGTTCCGTGGACTCCTAGCTAAATTATCTGCGATGTACAATGTTTCCGGAGCGTCTCTGGCGTGGATTACGGACTACCTAACAGATAGAACGCACTCAGTGTCAGTCGAAGGGGTACTCTCAGACCCACTGCCTGTGAAGTCGGGAGTCCCCCAGGGATCTATACTGGGGCCTCTACTATTCTTGTTGTATATAAACGATCTACCTGACTGTATAGATGGTTTGTCACTATTTGCTGATGACACAGCCCTCATTCAGTTTGACGCCGACATTGCAAACCTGTGTACGAAGCTTCAGAATGGAATCAATGTTGTTCATAAATGGATGTTGTCATGGCGTCTGAAACCCAATATCTTGAAAACAGAAATAGTCTTTCTCCCTCAACTAGACCACCCTCCCACATTTACCCTTCCCGGACTTGATTCGGCTATTAACATTAACATTGTAGATACGCACAGGCATTTGGGTGTTGTATTTGACTCGCAATTGTCCTGGAATTCTCACGTAGATTTTGTATGCAACAAAGTTAGCAAATCTGTAGGTTGCCTGATGTCTCACTGCTCCCACTTGTCCCCCGAATGTATTCGTCTCTTTTATAAATGCTACCTCCTTCCTATCTTTCTGTACGGCGCCACTGCTTGGCATTCCCTGCTTAGTAAATCTGCTGTACAGACACTAGAAATATATCATAAACGTGTGTTGAAAATTATTTTTCGTAAACCCTCTCTTTTTCCCTCTACTGATCTATATAGTTTGGCCTCCACCAGCCCCATCTCTATCCTGTCGCAGAGACAGTCATACGTTCTGGTCCATCGTATTAAACTCAACATTGTCCCTGAACATCTCACCAAGTATAATTGGTTTACTTTCGTACGGGACACTCGCAATGGCATAGTACTTCCCAGAGCTTTGTCAACTATGTTTACCAAATCTCCTATCTTCTCTGCATACTCGTATTGGCTCAAGCTGCCCATGGAAATGAAGACAATATCCAATATTAGACAGTTCATAGACCATGTTAAATGTCATGCCACGTTGTAGGCTCGCTCGCCTCTTTTGCTAGCTTATCTCGCCGCTCTCCACCATGGTCAACATAGTGATACATTTCACCCCGCTGATGCATTATTTTCTTCCGATTATCATCTTCTTTCCTTCATTTTGTTTTCTTCTCTTGCCATGGCTGGCTAACGCCCCCTCCTTTGCATTGGCTTCTGCCATTGGACGGTGAAATAAATAAAATAAAATAAGATGGCTCTGTTCTTGCATCGAATCTCACCAGCATTATCAATTTGTCTCTTATAACTTGACAGGTTCCACCAACCTTCAAAGTGTGACATTTCAGTCCGTTGTGTGGCAACCGAACCCTGCCCCAGAACTATCGTCCAGTATCTCTCCACCCCATTATCTCCCGTATTCTGGAGACAATGGTTAAGAGACAGCTTACTGCCTATCTGGAGGCACATTCGACTGAGGATGCACTTGTGATAGCTGTTAATCTATGGTCCACTGCAAGCCGCAAACGAGAGTTCACTTGGACAGTGCTCGTTGATATGTCGAAAGCCTTCGACCGTGTTAAGCATGGACGTCTAGTTACAGTTTTGTTTTCCCTTTGTATAGCTGGATTGGTTCACTGACTACGTCTCAGGGCGTTTCCAGAGTGTCAAAGTTCTGGACTCTGGTAGTGAAGCCGTCAGTTGCTCCCGTGGTGTTCCCCAAGGTAGCGTCCTTGGGCCACTGCTTTTTGTGCTCTACTCTAGTAAACTCCACACCATACTGCCACCGTCTGTACAGCACCAAGAATTTGCAGATGACATTGTCATCGACTGCTCCCATCCGGCCACGAGGCACGGCTGCAATACAACCGGAGGTCTTCCGCAATGGCGAGAAATTCTGTGTGATCCCTACAGCCCAGTACCTGGATTTAGTCCTGGATAATGATTTATCCTGGGCTCCACATGTGGAGTATATTGGTCGCAAGACAGCGCGAACAATTGGTCAGCTCTGGAGGCATGGACGAGGACTGAGTTTGCTTGCCTGGCGAACATGGTTCCTGAGCATGATCCTTTCCCAGCTTTGTTATGGTTCAACAGTTTCTTTCCAGGACTTAGCACACACCTGCTTGGTCCGTTTGAAAAGATGTTCAAGGCTGACATCGGTGCCACCTTGCGACAGCGGCTCTTGCGGAGTCCAACCCTTCTTGATCAATTCTCCAAACCCTCCAACAGAGGTCTACGGTCAACCCTCCAACAGCGTTATCTCGTGCCCACAGCCCTCTTCTATCCCTGCTGATGTCCCCAACCTACTGCACCTGTTAAATCAAACGTTTCTGGTCCTAGTTCATCGGTGCCTCCACCACAAAGCTAGCCCCCTGCTTTAGGAGATGTTCACAGGCACAGCTCCAGTTGGCCCCCCAGCAACATCCGGGCAACTTGAGGGCAGCAGTCCAATCTGCTATGTGTGCATTTTCTCCGAAGTCCCTTCGGGCGACGTTCCATCTGGTTGGTGGCAATTGTCCAGTGGAATGCTCTTCCCGAAAGCGTCAGAACTGAGGGTGGAAAGCGGACCTTCCAGGCTCTCACATGCGCACTAGATCTAGAGGCGATTGCAGCAGAGCAGTAACTCGGTCAGCTACAGACTGATCGATCTCTGTCTCTCTCTCTCTTATTCTCCCTCCCCTCCCCCCCCCCCTCTTTCACTCTCCCTCCTCTCCCCCCCCCTCTCTCTCTCTCTCTCTCTCTCTCTCTATCTCTATCTCTCTCTCTCTATCTCTCTCACTCACTTTCTTCCCGCTCTCTCTCTCTCTCTCTCTCTCTCACTCCCCCCCCCCTCTCTTTCTCTTTCTCTCTCTCTCTCTCTCTCTCTCTCTCTCTCTCTCTCTCTCTCTCTCTCTCTCTCTCTCTCTCTCTCCCATGCACACAACTACACACAGAGTCTTTAGATGCATTTTGTTCTGTTTGTAAGTTGGCTGTAAAGACTCTCTCTCTCTCTCTCTCTCTCTCTCTCTATCTCTCTCTCTCTATCTATCTATCTATCTATCTCCCCCCCCCCTCTCTCTCTCTCTCACTCACTGTTTCCCCTGCTCTCCCCCCCCTCTCTCTCTCTCTCACCCCCCCCCCCTCTCTCTCTCTTTCTCTCTCTCTATCTATCTATCTATCTATCTCTCATTCTCTCTATATCTCTCTCTCATTCTCTCTCTTTCATTATGTCTCTCTCTCTCACTCTCTCTCTCTCTCTCTCTCTCTCTCTCTCTCACTCTCTCGTTTCCTCCCTTTCCTCTTTTGTTCTCTCAGTCATACTGTATCTACGACCTAAGTTTGTGTGTGTGTGTGTGTGTGTGTGTGTGTGTGTGTGTTTGTGTGTGTGTGTGTGTGTGTGTGTGTGTGTGTGTGTGTGTGTGTGTGTGTGTGTGTGTGTGTGTGTGTGTGTGTGTGTGGTGTGTGTGTGTGGTGTGTGGTGTGTGTGTGTGTGGGGGGGGGGTGCATGTGTGTGTGCATGCGAGGATGTGTGTGTGTGTGTGTGTGTGTGTGCGCGTGCGCGCACATGTGTGTGTGTGTGGGGGGTGGGGGGGGGGGGGGGGGGGGTGGTTGGGTGCACATGGTTGGTATGTGGTGTTTATGTGAGCGTATGATAATAATCTCTTCAATAATATTAATATCTTTATTAATTTTCAAGATTAGCCAACGCCGGCGAACGCCTATCAGGTCGATCTCCTATTTGAACATGCGCATATGTGTGTGTATGATGTGCCCTAGCTCACTTATAATTATAATTATGTTATACACGTAGATCATGTCCATGATGCCTTTCCTCTGCGCAGGTCGACCGCACTATTGTTTTTAAGATTCACATAATTATTACTTCTGCATATGCATTACATACTATGATCATGCTGGCTCCATCCCTTATCTCCTAAGCTACCACCCCACCCCCCCCCCCCCACCCCGGTGCGTCTGCCCAGTGTTGACTCCGAGACCCACGGTCGGACGAGCTGCCCAGGCCTCACCACCACTGCCGTTTCCGTGTTGCCTTCTCGATACATACGTATGTACACTGTATATCATGTGCACATTCACATGTCAGAAAGTTTGTGGTTTTTCAAAAAATAAATAGAAAAAAATTAAAAAAAGTTTGATTTTCACTTCTTCCCACTCTTCTACTACCATGTTCATAATCATTAAGAGAGCATGTCTCTCTTCCAAGAAATGCAGTGTAGGATGGACCTACTGGACACAGCGTTCACTTGCGCACCTGCACTGGTGACAGTTCACTTTCGTCCCAATGCAGACCACCCGCGTGTACCTCGTCTTGATGCCTCAAAGGCAGCTGGACAGAACTACGCAAAAAACCTCTTTTCCGATACATGCCCACCATGACTTACAGGGTTTGTAATTCGGTTGTGGCTTTGAACAGCCCGTCAGGTAGGTCATCCAGTTGATTATACCTAAAATTTCTGGGAGAACAAAGTAGAATTTGGATAAGATGTACATTGTACGTCAAGTGTGTGGGTTACAATGAGATCTGAGTCTCACCCACCGGTGTAGATGAGAGAGAAAGAATGATAGAGAGAGCGTCAGGCGAAATAGCACGTCATAGTACATTCGAGATCAGCGGGAAGAAGATGACGACGTCCACTAATTTAGTATCTGTGCACACGAATCTGCTGTGTGTGTTACTCTGTGTGTCAGCTATGGCATCATCGCCTGTGGTTCCATGCCTAGCATGTACGTCTGAACCATCCTGCAAAGTTTGAATGACGTAGGTTGAGCGATCGCTTCGCGAAACATACTTTTTGAAATTCTCTTCATAGTATATCTTCCACCATTGAAATTTCGAATTTCTTCGAATTTTTTGCTGAGAGGGGTGGCTTGCAACCTCGATATGGCTTGTTCCAGGCATGCGTTGGAGCCATCGCCTGTTGAAAAAGTGGCGGGAAGCTGCCCTGCAACTGTTCCAACAGGAAATTAATCGATCCGAGAAAGCGCGAGTCCGCGAATCTCGGTTGAATATTGAGTATTTCAAGCCTTTTCACGACGAAGATGGAGTTCTTTTTGGAGATGGACGTCGCGGCAAAGGACATGGTGTCCGACTTCTGGCATCTGGTGAAGCCAGGGATCATTTGTCCAGTCAGGCCGGCAGCCTAACCGTCGGTAAGCTTGTGTTTGGATCCCGTTCTGCTCGATGTGGTAGATCACAAACAATTATTTTGATATCGCACAAATTGATCTCAGCATCGTGCGTACGGTATTTTCTATACAGAAAATCCCAAAGTGTCTCTGTGTGGCCGTCCCATGCCACGAGAAACTCCAATCAGGCTCCTATGTCCTCTGCCTTCATGATTGAATGTCCACTTTGTTTGAACAACGAACACAACAATCGTGGACGGCTTTGCAATGAAAAATACAGCTATACTGGAGCTGAAAAAAAGAAGAAAAAAACGTGCTCAGGATGAGACTCGAGTACACGTATACTCTCCCAGCAGGTGAAATGCAAATTTTTGTGAAAAATGCGTGTCGCCGACTGACCAGTAATTTCGCCTGACGAGATTGAGAGAGAGAGAGGGAGAATAAGAGGGAGAGAGAGAGAGAGAGAAACATAGGGAGATGAGCAAATTAAGGAGATATATCCGGTTGACTTGATGTTGCACTATCGGGCTAATATGGGATTACAAGTACATTGATTTGTAACTAGTTGGATGAACACATTGGCTCACGCAGAGCCTTCCAGCTCTTACGACAAGCAACTGTTGCCCCGAGCGAATGGAGATCTCCCAGAGTCAGGAGTCTACCCTGCCCGGCTTTCTGCAGATCTTGATGCAGCACGCTGGGAAGAGTGACGCGTGGCCGGCCAAGCCATCTGGTGGTGTTGTTTGCGAAAAAAATTCCATTGCCATTACTGCGGGGGTTGATGGTGGCAGCTGCAAGATGTGACCAAATAGACGCCACCTGGCACGGCGTACGAAGATGCTGATCCCCTCTATTTGGCACCTCTGGTACAGTGCTTCATTGGAGATGCGCTGTGGCCATTTGATGCCAAGGAGAGACCGCAACTGACGTCGGTGTAAGGCATCCAACTTCTGGAGAGCAGATTGCGTGAGGCCCCAAGTGCCACAGTTGTACGTGAGGACGGGTAGGACAAACGCCGAGTGCAGTCGCAGGCGCTCACTCACAGCAGATCTCCGTTTCCAGAGGTTAAACATTGAAGTGAAGGCTGCTGAAGCAAGCTGCTTCCCCCGTGCTACGTCAGCCTCGTCGCCAAGAAGAGATCCTAGTTTTCGGACCATTGTCCACTTCTCACCAATCCTTTCGTTGCTTCTGAGCACCTGAGTACGTTCCATTTTACTAGGGTTGACACTCAGTGATCAGTTGGCCCTCTCAATATCGACTGGAAATGTAATACCATCCAACATCCAAATAATAGCTATGAAAAGTATGAATGCCGCAGACATCACCACGCAACATGACAATTTGTTTAAGGTTTGAGATTGAGTTTCCAGAATCGATTTTCAAGCTCCGGTCATCAGTGGAAATACGGAACTAAAGTGATCAAGGGAAGCACAAAGGTTAAAAATCCAAAGAAGTGTGACACATGACGCGTAAGTATTACAAAAGTGAGGGCTAAGATAAAAGTAAGTGTGACAAATGGGCATGAACAGTGCAGAAACAACTCATGAACAAGGGGTGCAAACTCACGAAAATAACCTAAGTGCTACAACATGTTCTTTTTGCTTACACAAATCGCGCTTATGCGTACGAATACAAACAGCTTCAAGGACCTTCAACTGCTGGACATACCGTATTATCTCTCTTATAAACACAGGTCTCCATTATATGCACAGTCTCCCTTATAAGCACAGGTAAGAGGGCTGTTGAGATTACAAACGCACAGTCTCCAACATAGTCACAGTGATAATACTGGAATGCAGCTGTGCGCACATAAAAGTGCTCTACGTGCGTGACTTCCACTTCCGCATCATTCTTTTTTCTTCTCTCGGTTCTCTAATCATGAAATCTGAGTTAAATTCCAATTTGAGTGTTTACCGGTATGCAACTTTCTTGACTTTTTCAAGGTTGAAAAATATAAACACAGTCTCCAGTATTAGAGAGGTTCCGCATAACGTAATTACGTTAGTAAAAAACGTAGTCGATCTACGGAAAGTCTTACGTAAACTGCATGCGGATCTGGGTTCCGCCATACGGAGTTTTCAAATCACGTAGCTGCCCTTGGCAACTCCTAACGCAGCAGTGTAGGACCAGATCGACCTGGGGAGAGAGTCATAAATTTGTACCCAATCCGTTAACGGACCAGCTACGTTATCAGAGCCCTATCTACGTACTCTCTGTAGACAACTTTCCGTAAGTGGAGTGCAAACTCACGAATTCACGGGTTTTTCCCGCCCACTAACGTAAAGTTGCTCAACTTTACGTAGTGCGGAACCTCTCTAATATCACAGTCTCCTCTATAAGCACGGGTGCGAAGTGGGTTGAAGAAATAAAAGTCCCGTGTTTATAAGGGAGATAATATGGTAACCGACACGACACAGTACAGAGAAGTAGGAATCATCATACACACTCAAACAATCGGGACGAGATAACAAAATTAATGTAAGTCCACAGCTGACTTCTTACGAATCTCATCCTCATCAGCTCCAGCACCTTCGCTGCCACCTGACTCCTCCTCGTCCGTTTTATCACCATCACCACCAGCCGTCTCATCGTCATCCGCCTCGTCGCCATCCGCCGACTCGTCATCACCCGCCTCGTCATCATCTGTATCTTCGTCATCCGCCGCATCATCACCCAACTCATATTCACCACCAGTCAGTCGTCTGGTACCATACGTGTTCTCCTTCCTACGTCTGTCCCGTCCCACTGTCCTTAGTTCATCCCTGTCTCGAGATTGTGTTCCGTTTAGCTTCTGGCTTCTGTTCTCCTTCGATGCTCCACGTGGGCCTTGGCCATTTCTAGCATATACTACGGTTGAATAATTTGCAGTCGACCTCCGTGGTCTCCGGACCGCGAAATTATCAATCATAATTTAAGAGTGGGTAGGACATCCTTCTTCACCATGAAGGCATGAGCTGTTGTGTAGACGAACCGGACACTAACATTACGAAAGTTCGATTCTGCAGCTGACTTCACTCGACGTTGCATGGTACGGCAAACAGCTTCACCCTTCCAAGGCAAACGAAGATACACCGGAGTGGCCTCGGAGGACACTTCCTTCGCTCCACCCAGTGTACCAACTACGACATATTTAGATATCACATATTCCGGGTACCCATTTAAACGAAACAAAGTGCGTAACCGCTCCAGCTCCTCATCCAACTTTGAAGGCGAACATAATCGACGAGCACGATCCACTAGATTACGAACGAGATTAATTTTGTACGACCTCGCAGTAAACGAGTCCCAAACAATGTACAAGCCGGTGAACGTTGGTTTCCGGTACACTGATGTAATTACACCACCCATACCAGACTTCTCTACAAGAACGTCCAAGAAGGACAATTTACTAGCCGATTCAAACTCACAAGTAGACTTCAGTGACGGGTGCAGCTTATTCAATAATTCAAGAAACTCCTGCGCGTCGTTCCGAGACTGAAAGTAGGACCAACTATCGTCAACAAAACGACAATACACCGCAGGCCATTTACATTTGGGGACCAATGATTCTCAGTAACCCACAAATATATTTGCAAGAACTGGACCCAACGGTGAACCCATCGCGACACCATCTATCTGACGATACATAACATTCTCAAACGAAAAATCAACGCCAGACGTAACCATATTCATAAGACGGGGAAAGTACGTCTCTTCGATAGTAACAGGAGAACCTACATTACCACGGTACATAGCATCACAGCAAATATCAATCGTAAAATCCAAAGGTACGTTCGTGAAAAGACTCACAACATCAAACGAGCACATAAAGAATGTCTCCGGGAATTCGTGATCATGCAAAAAGTCGGCAAACTCAAAACTATCCTTGACTACATATGTACTGTACATGTCGAGAACAGGCTGTAACAAACGACAAATCCACCTCGACACTTTGTACTGCGGTGAACCACACATGGACAAAATCGGACGAACTGGACAACCAGCCTTGTGAATTTTGGGTAAGCCATACATGTGCGGTCGCGCAGAACCAATTGGACTAAATGAATCCGACTCAGTCTGCGTGATCTGCTTCAGCAATACTAACTCTTTGAAATAGTTGCATAATTGTTCCTCTATTTTAGCCGTTTTTATCATGTGTCTCAATGGGCCCAATGACAGTAAACTTCGAACTATCGTTCAGAATGGTATGTGTCTTCGTGATGTAGTCATGCTTGTTCATAATGACGGTAGCCCTTCCTTTGTCAGGTTTGGTTATTACAATGTTGTTGTTGCTCCGCAATTCTTTCCGTACTCTAAAATGTTCACGGGTTAGTGTAAAACATGTCGT